CCAAGTGGGCTACAGCCCTTGCTGGAGACAGGTGGAGAGAGGTGGGCAGGAGATGTGCCTTTCACGGGAGGCAGGTTGGCCTTCTCCAGTGTGCGTGAAGGTGAATGCTCACGGAGGCATGTGGACGCTGCTGGAGCAGGGTCTGGGCTGTGGGTCGCACGCTGGGGCCACCCGTCCTGTGGAATCCGCGGTTGCTGACTGGGCAGCAGGTCTGAGGGGCAGACAGTCATGACCCAGCCTTGCCCGTGGCTAAGCAGGGTTTTGCTCAGCATAACCTGGAGCGTCTCTGTTTTTCACAGGCTTCTCAACAATAATCAGATCAAGAAGATCCCGAGCGGAGCGTTTGAAGACCTGGAAAATTTAAAATATCTGTAAGTTAACCATGCGACCTCTGCCCCTCAGGGTGGGCTGTCTGTGCTTAGACCTCTGAGGAGCAGGGGTGTGTGCTCCGCACAGGCACCAAGCTGGAGCCTTGCCTCTAGGTGAGTGGCGTGTGGGTGACATTTCCAGAGGGTCTTCCCTGCTGGGCGGAGCCAGCCTTTGTGCTCTTCAGTGTCCAGCTGCTGTGCTCAGGGGAGGTCAGCTGTGGCTTGTGGGCACAGCCTCTGGTCCCCAGGTCTGGAGGCGGAGGTGGCAGCAGGCTCAGACACACAACTGAGGGCGTCCGCCTATGCAGGCTCAGTGGCTTCTCCAGCTGTGGGGACAGACAAAGGAAATGACTAATCCACGTGGAACGTCATTAGTTCCTGCTGTTTTTCTTGTCCCCTGGCTGATTTGAAATTTTAGTCTAATCTACTTAAATTCTATTTTACCTTTTTAAAATTCATTTTGATTAAAAGTATCTGCTAGTTGAAGTCAGTTTTGCAGTTCAGAGATACTCTCCTTGAGGGCCCGCTGGGTACTGTCCACACATCCATTTTACACCCAGAAAGGATGGAGATGGACAGCACTGGACTTAGATTTCACCTGGATCCAGCCAGATTAGAAGCACATGCTGCTTGCTTTGAACAAATCACTCTTTCTTTTGAGGATGAAGATAACTTTCCAAGGAGAGCCATTTTTAATGAAGCATTTACATCACTTATTATTTATTGGAACAAAACAACCTAAACGTCTTTTTTATGTTGATAGTTAAAGCGAAGCCATCTTGTGGGTGTTGGTGTATGTTTTCAAATCTCTCTTTATTTTAGATGTTCAGTGGTTCCTAAGCGTAGACCTCCCTAACTCTGCTTATTAAAATGCTCTCCTCATTCAAAGTGTTATATGGAGACTGTTTTCTCCACCACCTCTGCCTTAAGGCTGACTTCCCGGGCGGTGTGGGCATTGGAGCCCCGCGTGCCGCTGGACGTGAGGAGGTCTGCGTCCTCCCTGACTCTGCTTTGCCTCTGGGCTGCAGTTTCAGTGCCCTGCTGGTCCAGGAGTGCTTGCAGTCCTGAGGAGTAGACGCAGGCGGCTGTCGGCAGTGTTGGGCTGTGTATGTGTTAAGTGGTTCTGTTTTGCTCTTGGTTTTAAACTACTGAAGGGCAGTGTATCCTCTGCAGACACCCTCCCTGCCGGGAGGTGAGGGATGCCATTTCTTCACAAACCCTTTCAGCACCACCTGCCAAGCCCCACCATCCCGGGCTCACTCAGGGGGCTCCTGCCCACTGTCTTCCCTCCCTCCCCAGGTGGTGGGCACAGATTACTGGGGCAGGATCAGGCAATGGGCTGCTCGTTCAGGAGGCAGTCTTGCTGGAAACTGGCACTCGCGGGGCAGAGCTGGCAGGTGGCCCTGGCCCCAGGCTGGCTGTGCGTAGCTCCTGGTGCTGCTCTCGGTGCCTGGGAAATGTGGTCAGTCTACCTGCTTGACCACCGCCTCCCACTTGAGTGGGGAGCTCTCCTGAGGCCCTTTGGCTGCTCTGGCCTTGGGTATTGGCAGCACAGTTTTGGAAGTGGTGTAGACCTTCTATCCTGGACCCCCAGTACTTCTGGGGACCCTCCTTAACTTGCATTTGCTAGTGCAGAAGAGAGTGTTGTAGTTAGAAATCATGGTCCAAGAGGCAACTGCAATAAGGAAGAAGCATCATCATTCATTCTTGGAAGATCAATACCAGCTGTTCCCACGAAGTTCTGCCTCAGTGTCTTTATTTTTAAACTTTCTTGGGTTTTAATTTCATTTACTTGTATATTGCAGTACTAGGGATCGGACCCAGGGTGCTCTGCCACTGAACTGTACCTCCAGCCCTCTTGTTTTTTTTTTTTTAATTTGGGGCCAGCTCTTGCTAATTTGCCCAGGTTGGCCTTGAATTTGGGATCCTCCTGCTTCAGCCTCCCAAATGGCTGGGATCACAGGTTAGGGCCACGCCTGGGGGCTTCACGCATATGCCGTGATTCTGTCCACTTTATAGAAGAAGAAACCAAGACACAGAAAGGTTGTCCTCTCACACAGGCGGCATGGGCATAAGGCCCCCGCAAGCTGCCTGCTTTTCCCGGCTGCCGTGCGCTGCTGGGCTCTGGCCCGGGTGTCCAGCCAAGGTGCAAAGGCTCATTGTGAGGTCACCTCAGTGGATCTGCTCAGAGGGAGAAGGGCCAGGACCACTGGGATGGATTGCAGCAGCCCAAGAGCACCTTCAGTTCCTTTAAACCAGGTCCTGCACCAGACATGAGTCGAAGACAGTGAAGCACTTTGTCCTGCAGAAACTGTGGCATGAGAAGTGCGGGGCAGAACCTGCTGTCCATGCAGGGGGATCGCTAGGCGATTCGCCACCAGGGCAGGGCTTTGAAGGGAGGTATCTGCTTGATGGGAGGGAGGGATCTGGACCTTCAGTCCACCTGCCGCAGAGATAAAGCCCAGTGGATCATCATAAGCCACAGTAGCAGCCACGTCAGAGGTGGGAGCCGTACTCATGCAGAGCACCCCCAGGTCACCAGAGATCTGCTGCTGCTGGGCCGTGGTGTGAGGAAGGCCTGGCAGGTCAGGCCCAGAGTCCACACGCACACCAGGGGGACTGTGTTGGGAGCCTTCACCCCTCAGATGGGCTCAGGAGCAGCAGGCCACATTCCAGGCTCTGTGTCTGAGCCACATGGCCCAAGCTCAGACCGGCCCGAGAGGGTGAGTGCAGTCGGGTTCCAGCAGACTTTCCTGTGGACCCTGAAATATGAATTCCATGTGACTTTCATTTCTCACAGCTCAGTTCTTCCTTTGGAAATTTTACCATTTAAAAATATAAACTGCATTTTTAGTTCCCAGGCCCCGCAGGGCAGGCTGCAGCCGGCCCTGGAGCTCCTCCAGTCAGGGGGTTCTAGGCGGTGAGTGGCTTCCTGGTGACCACTGCCCGTGTGACTTCAGGACTTGCAGAAGCCTGTCTGTGTGATCTCCTCCGGGGATCTTGTGGGTGTGCAGGGAGATGCTCGTGTTTCCTCCAGGCTGAGGAGCAGAGTGCCACCCCTGCTCCCTGGCCGAGTGGGGGAAGCAGAGTTAGGCCCCTGCTTTTGATCCTTTTGAGATGCAGAAAGGACCCTTCGCAGGGCGGGGCCTGTTGTGTCCTGCGTGTTGTCTTCCACAGCAGTTGGGGCTGCCGGCCTGGCATCGCGTGCCCCTGTTTCTCTTACCCATCTGCAGAGTGCCCTCGCCTGTGCTAACACTCCTCCATGTTTCTTGTTTCAGCTATTTGTACAAGAATGAGATCCAGTCAATTGACAGGCAAGCGTTTACGGGACTTGCCTCTCTAGAGCAACTGTAAGTGCCCTCTCCTCTGTGCTTCCGTGTCCTGGATGACACCTGCCTCTTTGCCCCCACGGGGGGAGCTGTGGAGCTGGTTGCATGATGCATGTTAGCTCCACGAGCTGTCGGAGGCCGTGCATGTTGCTGTGAGGGCCTGACGGGCCATTCCCCGTCTGTGCCACCTCCCACCCAGTCCACCCCTCACCCACCCACGAGCAGAGGTTTGCTGGGCTGCTTCTATGCCCAAGGCCCAGAGTGGACACTCATGGTTCCAAGAACAGTAAGGGGGATTGGCTCCCTGTTTCATGGTGAAAACTGCTATGTTTCAAGGGAGAGATAGATGTGCATACAGGAGCCAGTGGTGTTGTCCGGGGCCTCGTGGGGCCTGATGGTTCCCACTGCACATTATTTCCCTTTTGGATACGGGGATTGAACCCAGGGCACTTTCCCGTGAGCCGCAGGGCCAGTCCTTTATGACAGAGCCTGACGAAGAGACTGGCCTCACACTTGCATCCTCTTGCCTCGGCCTCCTGAGTGGCAGGATTGCAGCCGGGCACCTCTGCTCTCCTCTTTGTGACTGTGCATGTGGGGTTAGCTTCTTCAACCATGATGCCATGACTTGGAAGAAGGCAAACTTTCCTTGCTAGATTAGTTAGTGGAGTTGCCTGTGACTTATGCTGTTCCCTTGGCTCCATGTGAAGTTGTACTTTGCTATAAAGTCAGCATGTTGATTTCTGAGTAGAAAGTTCTGGTAAAACCAGCAAGGTCTTTCTGTCAAGTGAACCTGCCAGTCCTCCAGGGACTGCAGTTACTGCAGTTAATGCCCCTCGGGGATGAAGGGCAGCGGCTTGCCCTGCAGTGGGAGGTCTTCTGCTCCAGCCCTGAGTCTGCCTTCACCTGTCACGGGGTGACTGGGCACAGCAGGCAGAGCCGGAGGCCGCCCTGGAGCCTGGAGCTGCAGGAGCACACTCGGGCACCTGAGTCCATGCGTCTGAACAAGAGCCTCCTTCAAGTGAGAGCAGGTCTCCTGGGCTTAATGCAGGGGGCACCGTAGGTGGGTGCAGAAGTCCTGGGTAAGGTGCGTGCAGTCTGGGCCCACATGGGGAGGTGGAGAAAGCACCCAGGGCCTTTGCAGAGGAACGAGCTCTGTGTGCAGCGAGGTATTCATGCCTTGGGGATGTAATGGTAGTTGGGGCAGCTGTGGAAGCCTGAGGGTGCTGGGGTGCGAGACAGCCTCAGGAGGTGGGGCGCCTGTGAGCTTTTTGAGGAAGGAGGGGCCCAGGGTGGGGGAAGCGAGGCCAGGGAGGAGCTGTTCCTGCTGCAGGAACTTGGGCTTCACTCCACGCTGATCTCAGTGCATCTAGGAGGACCAGGGGCAGCTGCCTCTGGCAGCATTAGGGTGACCTGCATGTCCACAGCGGCTGGGCTCTCACAGCCTCTCCACCGGGTGTGCAGACTGAGGCTGGGAGGGCCAGCACTCTGTGACTGGGAACCCCAGCCCTGTGCCCTGAGCACACTCCAGCCCCAACCTTAGAAGATGTGCACTCACACCAGCCCCTGGGAGCTGGGAGGACCAGGCCCCGGGGCACGGCTGGGAGCCCACAAGGTCTTTGGAGTCTCTGAGCTGTTCTCTGGGAAGCTATGGTATGGACCAGAAGCCTGCCAGAGTCCGGAGCTCGTCTGAGCTCAGGGTGTCCTCCATGCACATGGGGAGTCACTTCCTGTCCTGTTTCCTTGGCTGTCCAGAACCCAGCCATACAGGGTTCCAACTCCTAATGGCAGCCTCTGTTGGAGCCTTCTAAAGCAGGGCCTCTGGGTCCTCCTGCCCTCGACTGGAGGCCTACCCTGTGGGTCAGGGTGAGGGGACTCTGCAGGGCCTGGCCTGGCCCCCTTTCTTTATCCTGTGGGCCCTCTCACCTATGTAGCTCAGGACTCCTCCTGCTGGAGTTGGCAGAGCCCTTCCTCTGGTGTCCATGCTGGACACAGGAGCCCAGGCCCACCCAGGTCCATGCTCTGGACCCCTGCTGCCCAGTACAGAAACAGCGCCCTGTGACGGGGACTGAGGATTTCTGTTGGGTCCTATGTCCTTGGGGACCACTGGGGCAAATGCCATCCCGTGACAGCCACTGGCCTTCCTCTTCCTGTGGCACTCCTTCCTTGTCTTGTGTAGAGGGCAGTAGGCACAGACCTACCCTAGGAGAGGCAAGGAGGCCGTGGAGTACTGAGCCCTGCACAGGAGTGGCCAGCCTGGGTGGCCTTCAGAGACCTGAGCAGCTGTACCTGGGGAGCTCAGGGCAGGAGTTGAGGCGACAGAGGTATTGGAAAGTGGTCACCTGGGGGGGTGGCTTTGGTGGGGATTTGTGGTAGGGCAGGGCGTTGGTCCTGCCGCTCATTTTGACCTCTAGCCCCCGAGGGTGGGGATTGGGGCTGTCTCCATGCCGGTGCAGCAGAGATCTACCTTAGAAGCAGCGTGAGGTGTGTGAGAAGCACAACTGTGTTTCACTTGAGGAAAAACATCCCACCAATTTGACTTCCAAAGTGAGAAACTGGTATGCAGCAGAATCAATTAATTGCACCAAAAATCCACAAATTGCGGAAAGCAGGGAGATGTCCTAAATGGGAGACGTGTGGACGAAGGTCCTTGGCGCTGGGGGGGCCCTGGAGGAAAGGGGCCTTGGACTCGGCGTGGAGCCGTTTCCCGGTGGCCTCCCTCTGGTGCCATCTCAGTGTGCTGACACAGCGTCCAGGGACCTGCCGTGCACGGAGGTTGGAGAGGGGCTCCTGTGCACAGGCATGTCATCCTCAAGACCGCGCGTCTGTGTGCTGTGGGCTCAGGGAGGCCCAGCGGCAGCCAGACCCACCTCCAGCGCTCGGGCATCCGCGTGACTTCAGCCGAGCTGCCGCCTCCTGATGGATCCCAGGAAATCCAGTTATCTACTGGCTTACCAACGTGAAATGACTGAGAAAAAGATTTTTGACAGAGCATCTAGGTCTGAAAGTCGTTAAATTGATGGCATTGTTTCTTTTCCTCAACTCCAGATACCTGCACTTTAACCAAATCGAGACTCTGGACCCAGCCTCCTTTCAGCACTTACCCAGGCTCGAGAGGCTGTGAGTTGACTTCCCTTCCTCCTTTAGGGCCCTCGGGTGTCTCCCAGGCAGGCTGGACCGTGTCCTGGGCCCCCGGGCAAGGCCTCTGGGGCTCTCTCTAACCCTCCTGTCCTCCCTGGGCTCGCCCTGCTCACTGCCCGTGTGGTCTGCCTTCCTGGCCTAAGGCTTCCACGCTGGGATCCGAACCTCTCTGCTGGGCATGGTGATGAAACAGGAAAAAGATCCGGTTGTTTTTCTGAACTCCAAAGCATCCTGGAATCCATGTCTATTAAACAAATGGGATCCATAAGAATTTTTAAAAGTTTGTATATTTGCTGGTACTCTTTTCTACATCTCTAAGAAGTCTTCCTAAAAATGGGTTTGTCACCTTCTCTTTCAACAGATTTTTACATAACAACAGGATCACACACTTGGTTCCTGGGACATTCAGTCACTTGGAGTCCATGAAAAGATTGTGAGTGGGAAGACGCCTCCACAGGGCCCTGCGGCCTTGTCCCTCGCGCCCCGCCCCCCTCTGTGCTGCAGCTCAGAGCGCCCTGGGAGTTGGTGCCTGGGCGGGGCTGAGCCCCTCCTAGTGCAGGTGACGGGCAGAAGGCAGGTGGGGTGTGGTCTTCCCTGCAGGCACCAGGCCCAGGGCTGTTGAGGATTCCCAGTGCAGACCCTCACAGCGGCCCTGGGCGTGCTCCCATCTCAGGCCTGCTCCCGGGTGGGGACAGTGCCCACGGAAGTCCTGTTGTTCACCTGTTGAGACCATGGGCAGGCCTCATGGTGCTTCCACCAGACACTTGCTGGGACAGCCAGGGCCCAGGCAGGAGGTGCCCCTGCCTCACTCCCCATGGCTTGCGTCACTGACCTATGGAACAGCTCTGCCTAGTCTCTAGGGACTCCTGGCCTGTCCACCCCCATGCCCCTTTCTTTGGAATTTAAAGCTGTCCCTCTCCAGGGCCTTGGGGGTTTTCTTTGGTGGATGTGTGTACCCAGCAGGACGGGAGGGCTTGGGGTTCCTCCCGTTGTGTGCAGAATGGACTGCCTGGCAGGCTGTGGGTCAGGACCCCGAGCCTGAGTGTCCCATGGCTGCTAGTTCTCACCGGCTGCCCCTTCTTCCCACAGGCGACTGGACTCCAACGCACTTCACTGTGACTGTGAGATACTGTGGCTGGCAGATCTGCTGAAGGCTTATGCGCAGTCTGGGAACGCACAGGCGGCGGCCACCTGCGAATATCCCAGACGTATCCAGGGAAGATCCGTGGCAACCATCACCCCAGAGGAGCTGAACTGTGGTGAGTGGGTTCTGCGCCCACCCAGGCTGCATCACCCAGCCGGTCAGCACCTGCTGGTCAGCCTGTGCCTGCAGCCACCATCACGCAGTCTGCCATGCCCCAGGTCCAGGTGGGCGAGGCCTCTGCTTGGTGAGGCTCTGCCCTGCGGTGTCTTGAAGAAGCAGCTGAGCCCCTTTGCAGGTTTCTTTGAAGAAATAAGCAAACTCCCTGCCACTACCCCTCCCGTGGCTGCAGCTACCCCAGGGGCAGAACTCACCTGGGGGCGGGGGGCACAAAGGCCTGGCATCTCCTGGACGGGCAGAGCTCTGCCTGGCTCCTGAGCCGTGACTTGGTGTCCTCTGCCTGTCCTGCTGCTGCCTTCAACCCAGAGGTGCCCCACACCTTCCTGCCAGCCATCCATGGCGAAGGCTCTGGGGAGCCAGCCGGAGCCTCCACAGGGTGTCGGAGCTGAGGGTGCACTGGGGAGAGCCTCACCAGCTCTGCGGCCTGCCTGCCAGCAGCTAATTGCTACTGTAGCCGCTCTGTTGAGGTGTTGTGCACACATGGGACACGCCACCTTGTTGAAAGGTGCAGCTTAGTGGGTTTTAGGATATTTACAGAGCTGTGCAGCCTGAGCAATGAAACAAATAGTAACGGGTTTTTAAATAGCAGTGGAGAGCCAAGGGGGATTTAGAAAATGAGGTTCGAGGTTTATGCTCTAGAAGGAACTTCATCAGGGGAGGGTGCTGGAGGCCAGCCCACGGCTGCAGCAGTGAGGACCATGAGGAGGCAGACACGAGGCCAGCAGGCAGAGGAGGGGCGTTCCTGGCCGGGGCTGCCTGGGGCTGGCGTGAGGTCGAGTTCCTGGGCTGCAGCACAGGAGTCTGCTGACGGCCTAGCCCCTGCAGGCCTGAGGGCCGGGCAGGGCACACACTCAGCACAGGGTTGCTTGTCCCTGTGTGGTGCCCTCAGCTTGCAGGAAACCTCAAGGCTGGGTTAGTTGACGGGTGGCCAGGCAGGGGGACACAGGCCTGCCCCTTCCTCAAGCCCAGCTCCTCACAGGAGCCTGTGGAGCTGGCAGCTGCATACACAGCTCGAGCCCAGGAGGGATGGCTGCTGGGACACGGTGCCTGGACGGCTGGGTGCTGATGGATCCACATCAGCCGCTGGCCATTCCCAAGCGGTGGGAGGGACGGCCCTCCTCAGGGTGGGGTAGGATAGCTGCCGCAGCAGGCCCCTCCCTGCCCATCCTCAGGGCCACCAGCTCAGGAGCCGCAGCTGCTGCTCTCATATTTGCTGGAGCAGAGCCCGTGCAGCACCCGCTCGCAGGTGTTCCTCTAGCTGAAGGGCGCTCGCGCACCACTTGAAGGTCATCCCTGATGCTTTCCTGGCCACCCCCAGGCCAGCCCTGTGACATCCTCAGCCTGGCGCCTCGGAGCTGGAGGGTGCTGTGAAGCTTCCGGGCAGAGCAGTCTCTGCAGGGAGTGTCTGTGGCCACGCTGAGCGTTTGGGAGTTTTCTCCTGATGGTAGGGATTCCACCTGCGTTCTTATCTTGTCCACTCTGAGGTTTAGACTGAGAAGGTTTTCCCTCTTTGTTGGGCATAGAGAGGCCTCGGATCACGTCAGAGCCGCAGGACGCGGACGTGGTGCCCGGGAACACTGTGTACTTCACCTGTCGGGCGGAAGGCAACCCCAAGCCTGAGATCATCTGGCTTCGAAACAAGTGAGTTGGGAGTTGGTGCCACGCTCTGCACGCTGGGAGCACAGCTTCTGAGTCTCGTGCTGTGTCCAGGGGCTCAACGGTCACCACCCTGCCAGACACCACCTGATCTTCCTCTGCCAGCTGGGGAAGGCGTAAGGGAGACGCAGCACCTGTGTGAAGTGGTGCCTCCTTCCTGGGCTCACCCCCAGGCCAGCCACAGACTGGCCCTCATCACTCCCTGCCTGGCAGGAACCGGGCAGTGTCCTGCTGGTTGGTCTCTGGCCACCCTCTTCCTCTGGCAGGGCCTCCTGGTGTCTGACCCTTGCGTTAGCAGGCTTTGGGCCTGGGCTTGGTGGCCAGACCCGAGGGGTGTCCTGGGGCAGCGTCTCCAGCAACACCAGTGTGGGAGGAGGGCTGTGCTCCTCGGGTACTGGGGTTCAGCCCCTCGACCCAGGGCACTGCCTGTCCTTCCGAAAGCATTTCCAGGGGCTGATAAGCTGGGGATGGCCCCGCACTTGCCAGCAGGTGCTCAAGGACAACCAAGGTCACTCCTGGAAACTGACCCTTACGTGTAGGCCAGACCGAGGTGGGCCCGAGTGTGGGGAGCACCTAGTCCCCAGCTGGGTCTGGATGTTGTGTGGAGGGGAGAGGGAAGGGAAGGAAAGGGAAGCAAGGACCACAGTGAGGCAGGGATTGGGATGTGTGTGGGCAAAGGACTGGGGGCATCTGGCCAGGTGACTGGAGGGCACCTGGGGGCAAGTCCCTTGTCCATGTTGACGTGAAGCACTCTTAAGCATCTGATTTGAAAAAGGAAACCTTAGGAGGTAGTCCTGAGATCCCCAGGTGCGCGAGCAGGGGACCAAGAGGCGCCCTTGAGCCTCGTCTTACCATTGGTCAGGCTCCCCATGAGCTTGCTGGCCGCGTCCAGGCTGGAAGGAGCCCAGAGCTATCTCAGATCAGAGCCACATCAGGGCCAGGCAGCTCAGAAAACACCCAGGGCCCTTCTTCCAGCCAGGGCCGGGTCTCAGAGCACATTCTCCATCTCGGGTGAAGCCGAATTGACAGGCGAAGGTGAGAGTGGTCAGGTGACACTGGAAGGTGAGAGTGGTCAGGTGACACTGGATACCTGTCGGGGCATCGTCGAAAGGCGGCTCAGAACAGGGGAAGTTGTTGGAGGTTTGTGCCAAGTCCAGAGCTCTGGTCCTCGTATCTGAAGGGTCCCCTCAGCCCTGGGCTAAGTGTGAGATGCTGTCCAACTCTTCAGAAACCTCGTGGCCCCGGGTGGCTGGGGTCAATGATGAGACTTACAGTCCAGAATAGGACATTGTCACATTTCAGTGGTAGAGAAGCATAAATTTGGTCCAGAACCTTCATAGTGACATTTTATAAATGAAAAACTCAATGCTGAAAGATACGATGGCAGAACCAAATGTGTCAAAGCGGGAGCCGACCTTGTGAGGTGTGACCTGTGTCCGCCTGCCTCTCCTGGGCAGCCTCACCTGGGCAGCCTCCCCTGGGGGCCTCCTCTGCTGTCTGCCTGCCTCCAGTGGCTCACCTCGTGTCTAGAAAGGGACTGGGCCACGTTAGTACCTCCCACTCCTGGGCCCAGCTGACCAGGTGAAAGCCTGGGCAGGGATGGGTTTCGCTGGGCACAGCAGATGGTGAGCAGGTGGGTGGAGGCGGTTGTGTCCGGGAGCCAGCCTCCCTCTGGGGAGCTTGCCTATGCGTCTCCCAGCTGCCTGGGAAGTGCTTGCAGTTCCTCTGCCCTCGTGATGGGGCACAGTCCCCACTTTGCCGGTGTCTGGGGGAGCGAGGCAGAGGTTGGCCAGAGCTGAGGCCTGCGTGGCTGGAACTTTTGCAGTGGTTGCTCCATCCTGATGACCTGGTGGCAGACTTCTTTCTAGATCTGCTGCTTTCTGGAGCTGAATGCAGCAGCCTGTTCTCATGCCATCTAAGGGATGGCAGCCTGCCCAGCCCCCTCTTTGTGTGCATCTGAACAGAGGGGCCTAAGGCAGATTCACGCAGTGGTCAGATGCTAAAGGTGGCCGGGCTGGACCAGGAGCCAAGGCCTGCTGGCCTTTCTTGCTGTGCAGGGTGGCAAGAGGTCACAATGAGGACTGAGGCCTGGGCCCCACAGCCTGGTCCTTGGCCCTGGAACAGAGCAGGCACAAGGGCTCACCGAATCCCCAAAAGGGACCAAGCAGCAGCTTCTGGGGTTTTGGTTCTTGTTTGTGCTGGGGTCAGTCCCCTGCCTCTGCCTCCCAGGTGCTGGGCCACGGGGTGCTCCCTTGCCCATTGGTCTTGGGGCTACAGATAGGTGTATCTCCCGCCTTTGGTAATTTCTTTTTATTTAATTTGCCAAAAACAAAGGAAGATTTTCTTCTGAATTTCCCCATCTTGCTGCTGCTTCCTACTAGGAATGACAACCACTTTGGAAGGGTGAGGTGGGTTGAACGTGGGGCAGTGCAAACACCTGTGTGCACTGAGAGGCGCTCTCTCAGAAGTGCCGCTAAGGAACGGGCGTCCTGCCATCAGGTCTTGCCCTCCCGCACCTCTCCCTGCTGCTGGCGCTCTGGGCTGCTGGGACCCTGTGCTGGGGCTGCCTGTGTCTGGGATGGGTGAGGCACAGCCTGTGCATCAGCATTCGAGAGCACCGGATCTCTGTGTTTGCAGTAATGAGCTGAGCATGAAGACAGACTCCCGCCTAAACCTGCTGGACGACGGGACCCTGATGATCCAGAACACGCAGGAGACAGACCAGGGCATCTACCAGTGCATGGCGAAAAACGTAGCTGGAGAAGTGAAGACCCAGGAGGTGACCCTCAGGTACTTTGGGTCTCCAGGTACGTGGAGGGCATTGCACAGGGGCCATCCTGACCATCTGCTTCCCCTTTCCTTGCACCCCAGCCCAGTGAAGTAGGAAGCATTAATCTCACGGTGGACACCGGGTTGTTGCTCCAGACTCCCAAAGCACTGGGCCCTAGGTGATTAATGAGGGGCCTCCGGCCTGTGGTCAGCTCAAATCCAGGGACGTGCTAGGACACTCCAAGGCAAATGCAAAGGCAGTCGTGGTCTTGCAGGATTCTGAAAAGTACTGTATCATGAACTACTGAAGGCTGAAGCTACTCTTTCTACCTTTTTCTCCAAAATGTCACCACCCGTCTTAATTATGTGCTCCTGCGTTTCTGTGTGCTTTTCAGGCTGTGAAACATATCTTTCTGAGTTCTCTCTCCCTTCCTGTAACACAGAGCAAATCCGTTTACCAATGTCGAGTCCTGGACAGCACCCTTGGAAACCATGACTAGGGTTCTACAGGACACTGAATGTTCACAGGAAGTGGAGTAAACAAAGACTGGAAGTGGCCTTCTGTGGACAGGCCAAGTTTTGCAAACAAACAGTGAAAAAATAATTGACTTTGGAGATTTTTGGATCTCAGATATGTGGCTAAAGGTTGTTGGCCCAAAGAAACACAGAAAAAAGATCTGTACACATGTATGTCATGTTACATGCTTTAGAAAGTTTATGGGTTAAATTCCTACTGGGCTAATTTCTTCGTGGAAGAGTACGTACAGTTTACAGTTTGGGTTTGGGCATGAATGGCTGAATTTGTCCAGGTGGGCTCTCGGTTCTGTCCCCACCCTGCCCACCAGTGTGCGAGAGCTGTATTTCCATTTACACCCATAGAACACATAGTAAATGTGTAGAATTTACTTATTTTTTTATAGATTTAGATTTGAAAAATATTATCTCAATGTAGTTTTCATTTTTCTTTTTGTGATGAAATTGACATTTTATAAGGTCTGAATGTAAATTAGAGACTATATTTTGTGCCAGTAGGAGCTACTGGCTTAGCAGGATGGGCACGTGCATGTAGAGCCAGCTGGAGTGAGCTCCAGGGGGCCGGGAGTCTGCCCAGGAGGTGGGCAGGCGCTCACCTGGCGCTGCCGCTGCTCTGGGCAGAGGGGCCCGTCCCACCTATGCCCTGGATCCTCGTTATCTGCACATTTCTTGATAAAAAGAATGATCGCAAGAAAGGAAGCTCATAAATTCTGTTCCATGTGGTTAAGATCACTGGAATGGATGAACAGCCTCAACCGAAACTATCAAGAAAAAAACAGTGAAACTGAAGAAATCAACTGAGGTTTTCTGTTTGTGCAGCGCGACCGGCTTTTGTGATCCAGCCGCAGAACACGGAGGTGCTGGTGGGAGAGAGCGTTACGCTGGAGTGCAGCGCCACGGGCCACCCCCCACCGCGGATCTCCTGGACCCGAGGGGACCGCACAGCCCTGCCCGCCGACCCCCGGGTGAACATCACTCCCTCTGGTGGCCTGTACATACAGAACGTGGCCCCCGGAGACAGCGGGGAGTACACCTGCTTTGCCTCCAACGGCATCGACAGCATCCACGCCACCGCCTTCATCATCGTCCAGGGTGAGCACCGCGTGCGTGTCCGGGCCACCCGCTCTGCAGCCTGGCCGCCTCCTCAGTGCTGTTCCCACAGCTCCTCTGGAAGCTGCCTGGCCTGCTCTGCTCCACCAAAAGCCCCGCCCTTTGTCCCCTGGCTCCCTTTGTTATTTTTTTTTTTTTTTAATTTTAAGCTTTTATTTATTTTTAGATTTTTAAAAAAATTTTAACTACACGACAGCAGTGGAAAACATCACAATTCTTATTACACATATAGGGCGGAGTTTTTCATATCTCCATATATAAAGTCTGTTCACGCCAATTTATGCCTTTTGGGCTTTTTTGCATTACAATTCTTAATACACATAGACCACAATTTGACTTGAATTGGGTGTCAACATACTTTTTTTAAATATTTAGTTTTCAGCTGTCGTTGAACAGGATACCTTCAGCCCCTCTGTCTGTTTTTGCCCACAACATTCACTCACTCACTCACCCACTCGACTGACTGTCGTGACCAAGGATTGCTGGTTCTCCTCAGCACGGGGCTTTGCCTGTGGGCTGTGGTGTGCACAGCCCTGAGCACTGGGGGACATGAATGCCTGTGTCCTCTGGTGGCCATCAGTCCTGTACCTTTCAGGCAGCTTTCAGTCCTGCCCTGAGGTCAGCATCTAAGCGCAGGACCTGGCGAGTAGGCAGCTTTAAGATCATGGCAGTGCATTTCCAGGCCCCTTAGTCGATCCTAAACTGAGTAAGAACTTTTAGGTGACATGCCAAGTCGGGTGTCCGTCAGGAAGCCCTGAACAATGCCCAAGAACACACTGTGGATGACTCGTTCCCTGGCCCACGCCTCTTCCTTCAGCTGGTCCTGCCCCCGACAAGCTGCGACTCTGTTTCCCTGGGCCCAAGGTCATCGTTGTGGCTTTTCCTTCCTTGAGCTTGTCCCCTCTGTGAGGTGGGCTCCCACCCTGCCGGTAGCTTGCTGTCATCAGCAGCGGTGACAAAATGCACCCAGCTGCACCAGGTGGGGTTTTAACATTTGCAAACAGTAATTTAGATGAAGGAACCAGTGTCTTTTTGCTGGTCTGTCTCAAGGCTGAGCTACCCTGTCCTCCCTCTCTGGACACATTGTAGCTGCCTCTGCTGTTGCACAGAGCTGTAGTGCAGACCTCTCTGATGCTGAGGATACACCCTCCTTCTGGGTTCCTTCTGCTTTGCTGCCTGGGTCTTCCTCCAGTGCCTCCCCCTTTCACACCTGCAGGTGGACAGTGCACCACGGTGTGTCCTGTTGCAGCCCTGGGCACTTCCTGGTGCAGCGTTTTTGTCCGGTGCTCTCCTTCAATGCCCATTTAAATGTTCTTCCTTCTGAAGCTCTTCCGCAGTTCACTGTGACTCCTGAGGACAGAGTGGTCATTGAGGGTCAAACGGTTGATTTCCAGTGTGAGGCAACAGGCAACCCGCAGCCAGTCATCGCGTGGACCAAGGGAGGTAAGACACCAGCCCGGGCCGGCGGGGCCCACAGCTTCAGGACATGAGAAACCAGCTCTTGCAAACCTGGCATCTCCCAGACAGGGCGAGCAGAGGCCATGCCCCACGGGACAGGTGCTGGGAGAGGGCAAGGTGCCCATGGGTCCACAGCACAGGTGGCCAGAAGGCCACGAGGCTTTGTCCTTGCGAAGGGACTTGGGCGCCTGCCTCCTGCATCTGTGCATCTTGCCTTTCATCAGAAGCCTCCCATCTCAGCATGAGGGGTGCAGCTCTCTGGGTGCCTCGTGGCACATGCCAAAGCACACGGCCTCAGGCTGACTCTGACGCCCAGAGTTGCCGGGTGTTGGTGTCTGGCTGCCAACAGTGTGACTCTTGGGTCCCCCCAGCCACATTTGGAAGAGGCACAGCCCAGCAGGATGGGGCTGCGGGCGTGCAGGCTGCTGGGGAAACACCCAGACTGACAGCCTTCTGTCCTCAGCCCAGGGGCCTCCCTCCAGACACCGTCCCAGCCACCCTGGCTGGAACAGAGGGCTACCATGTCCACTTGTCCCACTAAGGGACCCAGTTCAGGGCTACTGAAGAACGACAATTCCCGTCCTCAGGCAGCTGCCCCTGGGATCTGCAGAGGCTTCTCCACCAAGGAATGTGCCAGGCCCTGCTTGGGGGAGCCTGGGCTTCCGAAGGGCTCCAGCCCCAGCTCCTGACCTGTCCTCTCTTCTCAGACACACTTAGGGTCAATCCCTGCAGCCCCTGAGTCACCGCGCGTCCTGACCCCCGTCTCCCCCATCGTGAGTTCTTCTTAGCCCCCTTGCTGGGAGTGGCCAGGCGCAGGGCTGTGTTTGATCCCTCCCTGAGCTGAGCCCACAGTGTGCGTGGCCCCCCACCTGGGCATTGGGGCGTCCGCTGGGTGGAGGATGACTTGCTCACCCCCTGCTGGGAGCAGCCACCTCCTGGCCCAGGTGAAGCCCAGCTCCTGCCAGGCTGCCATTTCCAGAGAGAAAGTCCTTATGCCCCGCGGCCCACCTCCTGCCTCACCCAGCCCCTCCCTGCCGTGTGACTGACGCTCCCCTTTGCAGGCAGCCAGCTCTCTGTGGACAGGCGGCACCTGGTGCTGTCCTCAGGCACACTGAGGATCTCGGGGGTGGCCCTGCACGACCAGGGCCAGTATGAGTGCCAGGCCGTCAACATCATCGGCTCCCAGAAGGTGGTGGTGCACCTGACCGTGCAGCCCCGAGGTAGGCGCTGCGGGCGGGGTGAGGGGTTGGACCTGGCATTGGGATCTCTGCAGCCCAGCAGTCTGTCCTGCCCCTGGTGTGGGTCAGGGCACTCTGGGCACCTGGGCCTGGGGAGTCCGGGGGCTATTGCAGAGGACCAAGTTGCTGTCCACCTGTGCGGCTGCTCTTGGGGCCCAGGGTGGAAGCAGCGAGATGGAGGGTGGAGGCAGACGACCTCTTGTCCCTCTGGTCCCCTTGCTCTTCCTGGTTGCCACCGGGAGGCCGGGAGGTTGGTCACCCACAGCCCCTGGGTCGGCGTGACTGAGGTGGGGTTTCTGCTCCTCTGAAAGCTTTCTGCCGTCCGTGCTTCCTTCTAGTCACCCCAGTGTTCACCAGCATTCCCAGCGACTTGACGGTGGAGGTGGGCACCAACGTGCAGCTCCCGTGCAGCTCCCAGGGCGAGCCACAGCCGGCCATCACCTGGAACAAGGTAGGAGCTGAAGCCACCCCACCTGGCTCCTCTGTGGGCGGAAGGGTGCAGGTGGCTGCCACCTTCTACAGACGTCCTGCAGCAGGAAAAGGCTTGTGTGGCAGGCTTCTCAGGGATACCCTTCCTAGTCGGAGCGGGAGCACGCGGCGGTCCTCCCTCTCCCTCCAGCCCCCTCTGCAGGTCTGCAGCCTCATGGACAGTAAAGACAGTGCTCATGATTTGATTGATCAATTGATTTTTATTTGGCTGTCACTGCTCCATCCCATACAAAAATGCTAATTGAACTCAGTGTGGGCAGGAAGTGCCCCTGGGGGACAGGTGGCCATGCCAGGCTCCCCTGAGGGCACAGTTCTCAGGCCAATGATGTCCTGGCCCCCTCCAGCTCCTTCAGCCTGTGGCCTTCTCCAGGCACACCTGGACCCGACGTGTGACTTGTCTTTTCTGTCTCCAAGTTGTCCTGGGTCCCAAACACCCTGCCTCAGGCACAGTCCCCGGGGCCCATCTCTCCGGCCCTCCCCGCCGTAGCGCGTAGCCCAGGGGAGTACCCCGAGTGTCCCTTGTGGTGAAGCCTCCTTTGTACCAGGCTCTGCCGCTGCGAGAGGTGTGAGAGTCCTGGAGAGTCCCCGGGCCGCTCTGCGCACAGCCTGGCCGCTGTCCCGCAGTCCCAGCCACCCCTCCCCACTCAGGAAAATCCCCTGGTTTCTCAGCTTTTGGCTGAGACTGTTTTCATTGTTTTGCTCCAGGATGGGGTTCAGGTAACAGAAAGTGGGAAATTTCACATCAGCCCTGAAGGATTTTTGACCATCAACGACGTGGGAACCGCAGATGTGGGTCGCTACGAATGTGTGGCCCGGAACACGATTGGATATGCCTCGGTGGGCATGGTGCTCAGTGTGAACGGTACGGGGTGCCCGGGAGCTTGGGGTGTGCCCAGGAGCGTGGGGTGTGTCCTGCTATGCCAGCCAGAAGCACAGTGCCCAGGCCTGCCCTGTCCCCCCAGGTGAATGGCACTGTTCAGGGTGTGCCCCTGAAGGCTTGGCCAGGCGGGTTCTCCGGAGCCACTTGAATCCCAGACTCAGCGGCTTCTGAGCTGTGAGCACAGCTGGTCACTTGCCTGGTGCCTGCGCCGCTGTGCTCGGGGTGGATGAGGGGTCAGTTTTGCCCAGTTGCGAGGGCAGCAGCAGCAGGTGCCAGGTCACCGTGAATGGAGGCTGGGGCATGGGAGGCTCTGAGCAGGGCTAGTCCCTGGGCCTCATGGCCACCCTGCTGCAGTGTGGCCTCCACTCTGGGCATGTGGGAAGCCACTGGGACGTGCCCGTGGGCAGAGCTGTGAGCGTCCTCTCTCAGGGGCCACTGTGCCGTGGGCAAGGCTTGTCCATCGGCACAGGAGTATGGTCCCGAGTCCCATGACAGCCTCACCTCACGGGTGCTGGTAGCCATGGAGATGCGCGGCCAGGTCCTGGGATGCTGCCCAGAGCCGTCTCAGGCCAGCAGTGCACTCGGGAGTGGGGGTGACCGCAGGGCCAGCCAGAGCCCTTTGGTGCCATTCTCAGTAAAGGAGGCCAGTTTGGGAAGAGGAGGGTCAGGGGTCATTTGAACGGTGAGCCATGGCCTGCAGCAGGCCCTTGGGATGGACGGGTCTGGTGCCGGGGAGAGATGAAGGCTGATGGCAGGAACAGGAGAAGGTAGGTCCTGGACTGTGAGGTCACCTGGGACGGGCCCACACCTCGGGTGGCCAGCAGCCAGTAAGGCGGGGAGGACAACTGGTGGAAAGATCCCCGAGTGACCAGGGGAAGCTGGCACGGAGACCCAAGCGGCTCCAGGAGGCCGCTCCCGCAGAGATGGGAGCAGGGGCTGCGCCCGAGGAGCAGGGGGGTCGGGGCGGAGGAGTGCGCCTCGGCAGCTGGCGGGGGACCCCGGTCTCTGCGGTGGGTCAGGCGGCCTGGCCCTCGGGCCTGCCCGCCCCCAGGGGGACGCAGCTGCGGCCACCTGGCCACTGAGGCAGCCTGGCGGGAACCAGGTGCGGTCCTGGCCAGCTCCGCTCACAGCAGCTGAGTAGAGGGCTAAGCGCGTGTGTGGTTGTGCTGTGTGTGGTGCGTAGTGTGGTGTGTGCAGTGTGCTGTGTGTACAGTGTGCTTTGTGGAGTATGGTGTGTGTGTGCTGTGTGGCTGTGGATTGTGGGTATAAGGTGTGCTCTGTGTGGTGTGTTGTGTTTGTGTGTGTACACTGTGCTGTGTGTGGTGTGGTGTTTGTGTATGGTGTGCTGTGTGTGGCATTTGTACACAGCTGTGTGTACACTGGTGTCTGTGGTGTGTTGTATGTGTGCACTGTGGTGTGTGCTGTGTGGTATGTGTACACTGCTGCATGTGCCATGTGTAGTGTGTGCTGTGTTGTGTGTGTGTGCTGTGTGCTGCATGTGCCACGTGGTGTGGTGTGTGGTGGTGGTGTGTGTACACTGCTGCATGTGCCATGTGGTGTGGTATGTATGTGTTATGTGGTGTGTGTACACTGTTGTTGTGTGTGCCGTGTGGTGTGGTATGGTGTGGTGTGTGGTGGCGTGGTGTGGTGATGTGTGGTGTGACGTGGTGGTGTGGTGTGTGGTGGTGTAGTATATGTGTGGTGTGTGGTATGTGGTATGTGGTGGTGTGGTGTGTTGTGTAGTATGTGTGTGGTGTGTGGTGTGTGGTAGTGTGGTATGGTGATGTGTGGTGTGACGTGGTGGCGTGGTGTGGTGTGTGGTGGTGTGGAGTGGTGTGTTGTGTAGTATGTGTGTGGTGTGTGGTGATGTAGTATATGTGTGGTATGTGGTGTGGTGTGGTATGGTGTGTGGTAGTGTGGTATGGTGTTGTATGGTGTGATGTGGTGGTGTGGTGTGGTGTGTGGTGTTGTGTGGTGTGATATGGTGGTGTGGTGTGGTGTGGTATGTGGTATGTGGTGTGTGGTAGTGTGGTGTGTGGTGGTGTGTGGTGGCGTGGTATGGTGATGTGTGGTGTGATGTGGTGGCGTGGTGTGACGTGTATGGTGGTGTGGTATGGTGTG